AGTTGGCCGGCCCGCAAAACGTTTCTGCCATTGACCGTTCACTCGCGATTACGAATTGCAATGCCCTGCTATATTACTCTACGTCGCTGTCCTAGATAATATTACTCACGTCTCGATAGCACAAATTATCTACAAATATCGTACACGGAGACAATTGTCTCTTAAAACTTACCCTGAAAATTATGTAATCGTCGGACAACATGGCATTTCGAAGAATTTTATAAGACTTTTTTAATTTAATTTCTATGGTAAATACAAAAACTTGCATAAAATTCTACCATAAAAAGTCTACACTAGTAAAATGTATAGTAGAATTTTAATGGAGTTTTTTTATTTACCATACATTTTACTAGTAAATGTATGGTAAAACTCTCACAAAATTCTCCGAAATGCTGGTCGTCCCACGATTACATGATTTTCAGGATATATTTTACGAAAAATTATGTAATCGTCGGATAACATGGCATTTCGAAGAACTTTATAAGAGTTTTTTAAATTTAATTTCTATGGTAAATACAAAAACTCTAATAAAATTCTACCATAAAGATTCTACACTAGTGAAATGTATAGTAGAATATTTATAGTAGAATTTTATGAGAGAGTTTCGTTATTACATAAAACTCATAAAATTCTCCGAAATGCCGTGTTTTCCCACGATTACATGTTTTCAGGATAAATTAAAAAAGATTATGTAATCGTCGGCTAACATGGCATTTCGAGGAACTTTATATTATTTTTTCAATTGTACTTGTATAGTAAATAAAAAACTCATAAAATTCTCCGGAATGCTACGCTGTCCCACGATTATATGATTTTCAGGATTAAGAAGAAATTCTCTCCCCGTGTAACGAATTCTTACTCTGAAATATTTTTGAGATTGCGAACATATGTGGACTACTTGAATTTATTAAATTCGATTACGCAGTGGTATTACACGAATGGTACTACAGAGAATTAAGAGTATTTGTTATCTGATGTCTAACATCTAACGATAAGTATTGTAAATTGATTGTAGTTAAGAAACAACAAGTCAAATCATTTCAAGATATGTAATGTCTGTTTCCTTCGGTGTGTATGTCATACTAATATTATACTAAAATTATAATCGTATTAGAGCCATTGTGGACAGTAAATTAAGCAAACGGCACAATGAACAAATTGAGAAATCGATTAGTCAGAATTATTATTTGCATTCTCTGCATTATTGTTATTCTCTCCCTTTCTAAATATTTTTCTCAAAACTATTTTATTGATTTCTTAAATTTAATACCCGTGTACCAGATTATCAACGTCGTTCGAGAAGAATTCCAGGAATTTTCAAGTCAATTCGCGATATCTCTCTTCCTGCAGCGCGTGAAAAACACCGTGATAAATTTTCCACGAATATATGCGAATGTTCGTGAGATTGATCGAATATTAAATGGAACTACGGGCAGGATTTCTCGGATACAGAAAGTAGAATTTTGCTATTTGTCGCTTCAGTTAACCGCTAAAAAGCACACCGTAGAAATTCCATGCATTTATTTGCATGTCTTTTGCGAATGTGGACCGACGTCTGTCAACGCGCGTTTCTTTTCCCAGTCATTATTTCACCGTTTATCCGCACGCTAGATGAAAAACGAGCAACGTAAAATTTATCATTCACTGCAGCGACGTTGAATATCACGCGTTGATTTATCGAAATGAAATTCGCATTATCGCATTCGCATCAAAAATTACTTTCCGCGACAGCGCACGAGAATGATATCATTTGTTATCGAGATGCAGGCAAAAAAACACGATACATCAGCTTAAAAAAGGAAAAGGACTATAAAATCTCAACGGCATCAATGAACTGAGAGAAATACAAAAGGGCGTTAAATCGCTCGTAAACTGCTCATCAATAACGAACGACAAAATTCTCACTCAACAAAGCTCAATTATAAACTGCGATTGTTTTTGAGTAAACGAATTAACGAACAAAATTTAAAAGCTACGACAAAAAGGTACGATACAACGTATGTGGCTGTGATACTATTAAAATATGCAAATGCAATAAATCATTTTTCGTATAATCGAATATGTCACGTAAGTAATTATTGTATACTTTTAATGGTGAAAGAAACCACGGAATTGGAAACTCTTTCAAAAATCTCTGCTGAACATCGTATATCCCGAACATATTTCCATAATTATGTAATATAAATTATATTATTACGAAAATATATATGTCTAAGATATACAGTGTTTCACCAGAGTTTTCTCTTTATTATTTCAGTTAGCAGTTAGCAATAATGTATAGATTGTCTCTTTTATTATTAATTCAAATATTTATTTTGCAGTTAAACGACAGAAAATATCATTAAATTTCCTTTCATGCTATTACATTATCACTTACTATCTCACCCAGTTTGCATCAACTAGAAATAATATTTTGTATAAAATTTAATTTATCTCGTGTAACAGGAAAATGGCGGGAATTTAATGACTGTAGCAACAAATAATAATTAGTGGTTTTTCCATTAATTGTTCACGCGTCTCTAGAATTTTTGGGCGAGGCACAATCGCATGTAATTTAGTTAATTACCGTTTCGCTGTATGCGACGTGCATGCGATATAATTGCGTTTAGCGCTCTTTAGCAACATGAAAGTTTAAATGCCGGTTTCATATTTCGCGATAGCCTTGAATTTTCATGGTTTTTGCTTAAACAACGATGTTTGCAAGTATTCGCAATATAGTCAAGTTCTCATTACGATAATGTAGCTTCTCATTTTCGTGGTTTCGTATAGTACGCTGGGAAACGCTCCAATTTATCGTCATTACTCTTGAATGAGCAAAAAAACTGGAATACTTTGTAAAATCAGAATTTATACTCGGTAAAACCCTCGAACCTCATTTCGAAAAAAAAATATCTTGTTGCATTGATAATTTCTGAGTCAAAATCAAGCGTAGATTTGAATAACAATAAAACACGTGTTTTTTCCTAGGAAGAAAATCACACGATTTTCTTTAAACTAGGCAGATCCGAAATATTCTATATAAACATTTCTGTCACTTATCATACCAGAGTAATAATACACTTGACTCTAAAGTTCTTCTTAGATTAATTAACAGACGCAATTATTTCACATGTGAGATTAGATCGCAACGCGCGCGCGCGCGCGGCAATTTATTTATAATTAACTAGACACGCAAATTGTTTCATCGAAATAATAGGCTGAGCAATTATCGTTACTTATAATATTAATACGCGATGCGAAGGGAGTCTTGTAGAAAATGCCACGTCTTGTGTATTCTACGCTTACATATCGTATTCTTCTTCTTCTTTTAAATCTGTAATTCTTTTTAATGTAACTTAGAATTTCGGCGAAATGTTGTAACAAGAAGTAATTTACTGCAGAAACGACCAATTTCGCGAAAACGTGTCTCGCAGATTTCAAACGTAACTGTACCTTCATGTTATACACGGATCACGAATTTCCCTCTTAAGAGTCCCTCGTGAAAACGTCAAACTAAAATCGTCTGTGCTGTACAAGCCGACTATTATTCCAGAGTGCATCGTACGAATGCAAATTTTGCGGATATGTCTTGCACGTTTATATTCTAAACATGGTATTTAACAATAACAATATATATCATTTAACAGATCTGAAATTTTTTCCAATTTGTACGAAATTACCCCGTCATAAAACTCGAGATACTCGAGCAACATATCTGCCGCGAGACAGGTAAATGCAGAATTATAGTTTTAAACACGTTTGCATTATCACGAGTGGCATTTCGTTAATTTTTATTATATATAACATAACTCTGAAATATGTAATAGACTGCACGGAAAAAACATGTAGCTGCCGTAACTAAAAACTGCACGTAGTAGCTAAATTTCAATTGTAAAATATGGACTATTTTGCTACAGTGCCTATTGTATTAGGTGCGACAGCGAACCGTTTGCTCTGTGGTTTAGAAATTTATAGTGATAGCAAAATATTTTTAGCAAACCACGATTAGCTACGGTAGGGAAAAATTTGTTTCAATGTATACGCTTTCGCACTAAAAAGAAATGTTCGCTACCATAGCTAATGATGGTTTGCTAAAAATATTTCGCTGCCATAACTATAAATTTCTAAACTACAGTAAACAGTTTGCTGTCACACCTAATACAATAGGCACAGTAGCAAAGTGTTTAGTTATCGCAGCTAAGTGTTAGCTGTCCATATTTTGCAACTGAAATTTAGTCGCCACATGCAGCTTTCAGCTACATTTTTCTTTCCGTGCGAGAAAGATACATCTTAGTTGCCCAAACTTATCACACCACTAACCGAAAACTAATCTCACATCGAGAAGACAACCACCGAAAAGACAGAAAGAGAAATTGTGAGCAATATGTAGTACTCAGATAGGTGAAAAAATGGTACCGTCTAAGGAGACAGCGAATCCTGTATGAGAATCTTGCAGGAGACAGATTTGACCCTTATCTAAAACATCATTCCCATCGAATAACAACTAGAACGAAAAGATACACATAACAGGGCAAGCGTGGTAGAGAGGAAAGAGTAGTTGAGAAGGAGAGACAGGAACGGACACCGTGCTCCTCACGAGACAACTCACTGACCACTCGGCGGAGGAGGTACGCGATCGGCTCGTCCGGCGGAAACGAGTTGCCGGTCGCCGACGACCGTAAGAACACACGGGGTCCACGGTCTCCCGCGATCGTCCTCGAGACGGGGTCGACGGGGCTGGCGCCGTCGGTGGTATTCGTGCTTGATACCCGCCATTTTTGAGGAAATCACAGAAATCGCCGGCGGACTCGGCGAACCCCGCGGCCGCGGACCGTCGCGAAAGCGCAGACCTGTCGACGTCGCGCGGTCCGTCGAACGTTTTCCCCGGCGTACGATCGGATCGCCGCGCGTCGCCGCGCCTCGCGTCGCGCTGCGACGCGCGAGCGAGCGAACGCGCGATTGCAGCGAGTCATTTTCCATTCATAAACGACAGCGGTTACCGTGGCGTTCTGCGAACTTACGTGCTCGTCGCTGAGCAAATGGCCTGTGACTGACACCCTCGAGCCACCACGCGCCCTCGCGCAGCCAATGCTGCGAATTCCAGGCGGTCGCGAGCGCGCAGGTCCATGCACCCGCACCCGCACCCTCGCCCTCGCCCGCACCTCGCACCCGCATACACGATAGCCTTTTCTTCCTTACTCCTGCCGATTTCTCCACTTCCCCTTCGACTTTACCCTTTCATTCCGCAAGATTGCTACCGAGAGCCCTACATTTTTATCTCGCGCTAAACTTTCGCTCGTGGCCTATTTCGATTACACCAAAACCCTGCTCCCTAATCTCGGCCTTTGGATTTATCCCTCGCGAAATCGTAAAAATTCATAATCAAATACGATACAATAAAGTCGACTCACGCGATACATTTATAAAGAAAAATTGTGCCTTCTACCTCCGAAGAATTATTCGTATCGCTCAGTACTTGCCTACATACGCAAGAATCGCTTCTTTTCTAAATTCCGCTTTTATCTCGGCGATTTATTTATTACTCGAGGATCTGTATTAGAAGGACAACTTCGCTATTTCAATATTCGTCTGTCGCTAGGCGTCTGTTCCTCTCAGTGAAATTTCCCCGAGTTACTTCGCCGTAAATCTCTTTCTTACTTCTATGCAGCTCGCTCGCATCGATGTAATGGAACGCCTCTCGCCGCACTCGATCTTTCTATCGCGTTTCGTAACATTCTTTCTTCATTAAGCTCCCTCTCCTTCATCTCCGTCCTTCCGGATTACGTTCCTCTCGTCCAGAGCTTCGCGAACGATCCTCCGTTTCAATTACACGTAGATTTAAGTAGATACGAAACTCCGTTCTCAGAGCAAGAATATATTTTGCCTCGGTATATAAATATAATACGTCGCATAAATAACGAACGCGTATAGAAGTGACGGATGCATTGAATGGAAACGCGAGGCGATTGTTCAAGAAAAATTGAAAACACCATCGACGACCGAGCGCTCGGGCACAATGCGCTTTGTATCGCGGCGGGGTAAAGTTCCGAGGAGCTGCTGCGCGAGCCCTTTGTGCGAATCTTTCATTGTTAAGTATCGGCAGGTGTCAAACGAGCTATCGCAGGCACATTACGTAATTTATACTTGCGAGAGTCCCTTCGCTTCGCCATTGTTCTCGCAATCGCCGTCTGAACGGCGGCGATGGACGGCGTTTCATCCCTCACCAAATTATTCTTGGGAGACAACCGCGCCGGCGACGCGGATGACGTCGCCCGATCGCTTCAGCGGCCGCGACAACTCGATAGTTGAGAAAACCCTCGCCGCGAGAAGAAACGTATCGCGCTCTTGACATTTCGCTTTGCATAGCCGCTTTGTCTCCTCGCGATGTGGACCACTCGTTATCGAGTTTTTCCCCCCTCCCTCCCCCCCTCATTCATTTCTCGCTTTGTGAAAGCGGCGTTGACGAACCGTAAAAGAGCCGTCGTCCGCTAAAATGGCTGAATAAAGTGAGTATCTCTTTTTCAACTTATTATAGCACTTTACTCCACCATCGATGTAACGAAGAATAAACACGTATGGTGTAGTCTGAGAATTTATCTATTTAAAATATAGGAAGCGTTGAATATATTTCATTCTTGTAGGTTGTCCTCGCTTGTTGTCTCTTGAAAGTCCTTTAGGCAAACTCGCGGTATAAATGCGATAAATAATTTTCTCGATGTATAACATTTTGTACTCTGAAGTCATTTAGGGACATGTTAAGGCCTGTGTCCACGATGCTAGAACTTGGTCCAAGCTCTGGTTCCGAGAAATGTGTAGCCAATCAACTTGCAGCTATTCTATAAAAGCTGCAAGTTGATTGGCTGCATTTCTCGAACATTTCTCGAAACTAGAACTTGAACCAAGTTCGTGGACGCAGACCTTAAGGAATTGCGATCACTAAGTTCACACGCTTGTATGATATATTTATAAGCTTTCAATTAGCCGTGCGTCAAAAATCAGGAGAACCTTATATTTGAGGGCAATTAAAGACTGCGTATATTTCGTGTGTCGCAATTAACTGCGATTGCAACAATTTTTATTATCACCTCGAATGGAAATCGTAGTTAACGCAGAGATTTCTCATCCTCGGCGAGAGAGTCGACTATTCCACTTAAATAGCGAAGTAGTATAATACCGCTATTAGACAGACGACGCCTGACTTTGCAGGCGGCTCGCTACTCGATCGGCTCTAGGTATACACGATTCGCGTTGTACCTGACGATCAATATTTACCAATAGATCGCGTTCGTTCTAAATCATGTAAATCGCAGCAACGAGAACAGCAACGACAACGACGACGACGGTAACGACAATAATGACGATGATAACGGATCAACAGATCAAGTAATGTGATATAACGAAATACACCTGCATAATTAAGCGCAACGGGTTAGCGCCCTAACGTTCGCTATCAACTGATGTACAGTAATTTTCTAGTAATTATTTCGTTGCTTTTCTTTCCGTACGGCAAGCGACGTTACAATAAGTGTTTATCTACGCCGATTGTAAATTAGCGGTAAACTCCCGTGCAATCTCGTCGAGTCGCCGCAAGTTGTTTAAAGGTCGAGGCCGCGATGTGTAACTTATGAAATGCAATTACTGATCCACAGTCCGACTCGTCGATACGTAATCAAGTCCGGCGGGATGCATAATGCACAATCGTGCCGGCGGGATCTAGCGAGCTTCAATGAATGGAGTTGTCATACCCACCTGGCGGTGCTTAACGAAAGGAAAGGGTTGCGCGGCATCGGGCATTGCCAGGGGTGCAGGAAGCGGCATCGGACACAAGTAGACAGGGAAGGGAGTGATCGCGGTCCTGAGTGCCGGCGCATGCTGTTGCGTGCGCGCAAGTAGTACGACAGTGGCACGGCACCGACGTGCATACCGGGTGGCGCGTACGCGTCGGTAAACCCGTTCGCGACTCGAGCGGATCGCGCGCGCGCGCGTTCTCGGCTGTACCGACTGGTAGCACCAGACCGGGGAGGAGAGCTTCTCAGCGTGTGGAACGACAGCACGGTGACGTCCGCGACGGAAGCTTTCAGGGGGGAGGAAAAAGCCGTAACTTACCGACGGTGTGCGAAAGCTTCGCGCGGTGCGACACACTTACCTACAAAAGAAAGAAGAGGCGCGCGTTAGAGAGGGTTAGTTCTGGTCTTTCTGGACACGCCATCGATTGCGGCGTGTAATTCAACGAGGCGATCAAAATTGTCCTTGCTTTACAAACGTGTCGGATTAGGAATGGTTTGCTACGATTAAGATCGTCTCTGGACTTTATTCTCTTTTTTTTTATGTGGAGTAAATAAGATTTTTTTTTACATAAAAAACAATGTATTTAAAGGATAAACGTATAAATAGAGATTAACATTGTTTTCATTTATAAACGGCAAACTTTAAAATTGTAAAAAACGCAAAATGCAAAAATGGGTCGTCAGAAAGCGTATAAACGGAGCCGATTGGAGCTACGAAAATGCAAGGATGCGTGTTTCAAGAATAATTAATAAAAATTCTTGTTTATAAGAGCTGGGAGTGAAACGTCGCTTTTAATTGCATCAGCTACTCAGAACTTATACATAAACGATGTGATATATTCCGTGATAAAAAAAATTAAAGTAATTTTTTTTTTAAATACGAGTTAGGATACATTAGATCTGCATGAAAAGAACATTAAATATCTCGTATGTACGACACGGCTCCATAGACATGTAGGTGAAAAAACATGCTGAAGTATAACTGGGAACTTTGATTATACACGAGTACTATCTTTAAGTTTCATGCATCCTAAAATATCGTTCATGCTATGCGCGATTGCTACCAACTACAGGCTAGACATAAGGTGTCGCATTCGAATTTTCTTTTTTTACCAAAGGTCACAATGGCAGAGAAACGTTTCTAACTTTAAAGTCTCTCCTCTTCAAATTATTCAGCTCAGTGTTCCTCAATGTTTCCTTATAATTAAAAATAAAATCAATGCCGCGTCTTCGCCATTTTCTTCTGGCGTCGGTAAAAAGGCGCGGGGGAAAAAAATGTGCCTTTACACCGCGACAGTTGAGTAACACTGATCTATAACTTCAAAGGTCGACCCTGGGCACTACCCACTTTTTTTCTATAGAACTCACTTAGCGCGAATGAGGCGATTATACTACACAGGCCGTTCTGCGTACACCGAGAGCTTTTAATTATACCTCTGCACATCCGCATTTAATATAGGCGGATATACATTAGGCTGATAAGATGCATTATCTACGTCGTCCTCGTCAAGGACGCGTTTCATGCGACCCTTCACAGGGCCCTGCTTCGTCAAACGTGTGTGTGTGTGTGTGTGTGTACAATATAAATGCATATAAATATGAAAAACATAGAAATCCTAGAAACACAAATTGCCTTTTACAAATAATGAACGCAAGCGGGTCCGAATCGCGTGAGATCCGGAGAACGATTAGGCTAGGAATAAAACTATATAGTCAGTAACAGCTCAACAACGAGATCTGCTCTAACGTCTCGATGGCTATGACCTATGCGCTAATAGGGCGGCGAGTTACGGCGCTCTAGCTCCAGAACTAATCTAGCGGCGCCTATGTATGTAAGCTGTATTTCCAAAACAAACGACCCAAACTTTTTCTTAACTTTAAAGTACCTGCACGGCCATCGGTCCGCGATGCGCCTGTATAATAAAAACACAAGAAATATAAGTTACACATGGGACCGAATAAGGTTCGAGACAAGATAAGCGATACCGTTGAATCGTCTATTATAAATTAATCAAATGCTACATGATCAACATTATTATTATTAGTATATTCTGTCCATTCTCTCCGATTATTATTAATTTATTCACAAACTTCGTTAAGGCGAGAGTCCATGTATTCGCCACAACAAATCTGACAATTTATTTATATCGTCGACACCACAATGTTAAATTAAAAGCGGAAATCGCACGGCTACATACAATTTTTAACGCGATAAAAATAGAGGTGAGACTCAAGGCATTCGATAGCGAG